GCAATTTCTCCCCAACCTTGCTAACACTTCTTATGGTCTTTTCGACCACAATTATCCTAGTGGGTGTGGAGTGGTGTCTCACTGTAGTTTTGTGTTGCATTTCCCTAAGGATCTTGAGCATCTTTTCATGTGTTTATCAGCCCCTTGTTTCTCTTCTTCGGAGAAAATATCTATTCAGACCCATTAAAAAACATTTTTTTTTTTTTGGTTATGAGTTCTTTAGTGGGTACAAGTCTCTTAACGGATACAGAAGCTGAAATTTTTTTTTTCCTCTTCAACCCCATGGGTTGTCCTTTTCCACCTTTTTTATAATTAAAAGCAAAAATTTATTGATCAAATGGTCATTTCCTATAGACTAAATTGTAACTGACATTCTTACAAGTAAGCATGGAATTTGCAAATTTCAACATATCAAACTGAAGCAAGAACAGGGAGCCCTCTCTTCCAGAAATGGTTCTCCTGGAGACCTTGTATCAAGCCCAAGTCCAGCCCTACAGGTACTGCGTCCTGAGTAAAATCTCTATAGGTGTGTACTGTATATTGCTGCGAGCCAGCAAAGGCAATGGTGGTGAGAAATAGAGAGGGTCTTAAGGGTGCTTAATGGCAGAAAGAGCTAATGGAAGCATAGAAAAGTGACAGGCACAACATAAGATTATGCCAACATTTTTAAATTTCAAATGCCGTTAAAAGACAAAGGATTAATCTCAAAAATATACAAGCAACTCCTCCAGCTCAACTCCAGAAAAATAAATGACCCAATCAAAAAATGGGCCAAAGAACTGAACAGACATTTCTCCAAGGAAGACATACAGATGGCTAACAAACACATGAAAAGATGCTCAACATCACTCATTATCAGAGAAATGCAAATCAAAACCACAATGAGGTACCATTACACACCAGTCAGGATGGCTGCTATCCAAAAGTCTACAAGCAATAAATGCTGGAGAGGGTGTGGAGAAAAGGGAACCCTCTTACATTGTTGGTGGGAATGCAAATTAGTACAGCCACTATGGAAAACAGTGTGGAGATTTCTTAAAAAGCTGGAAATAGAACTGCCATATGACCCAGCAATCCCACTTCTGGGCATACACACCGAGGAAACCAGATCTGAAAGAGACACGTGCACCCCAATGTTCATCACAGCACTGTTTATAATAGCCAGGACATGGAAGCAACCTAGATGCCCATCAGCAGACGAATGGATGAGGAAGCTGTGGTACATATACACCATGGAATATTACTCAGCCATTAAAAAGAATTCATTTGAATCAGTTCTAATGAGATGGATGAAACTGGAGCCCATTATACAGAGCGAAGTAAGCCAGAAAGATAAAGACCATTACAGTATACTAACACATATATATGGAATTTAGAAAGATGGTAACGATAACCCTATATGCAAAACAGAAAAAGAGACTCCGATGTATAGAACAGACTTGTGGACTCTGGGAGAAGGCGAGGGTGGGATGTTTCAAGAGAACAGCATCGAAACACGTATATTATCTAGGGTGAAACAGATCACCAGCCCAGGTTGGGTGCATGAGACAAGTGCTCGGGCCTGGTGCACTGGGAAGACCCAGAGGGATCGGGTGGAGAGGGAGGTGGGAGGGGGGATCGGGATGGGGAATACATGTAAATCCATGGCTAATTCATTTCAATGTATGACAAAAACCACTGCAATGATGTAAAGTAATTAGCCTCCAACTAATAAAAATAAATGAAAAAAAAAATTAAAAATTAAAAAAAAAATCAAATGCCGTTAAAATAATACCAGCCTCTCAACTCTGTACTGAGGCAAAATGTCAGTGTCAAAAAGACCCCCAAGGGACTGGGTGTTTCCACAAAGACCTGGTAACACTGAGGGGCATTCTTCCCTCTCAGACCCACAGTCCTCACATTTGGCATCCCCAGACCACTCAGCCTCTTTCCCTCTGGACTTTGGCTCTGTTAAATTTCTATACGGTTTTTTTTTTTTTCAAATTTCACTGATTTCTGCTCTTATTTTTTTCCTTTTATGTATTTTCTTTTTTTTCCTTTTCCCTTCTAAATGCTTTTAATAATTTTTTTAATTGAAAGATAACTGCTTTACAGAATTTTGTTGTCTTCTGTCAAACCCTGACATGAATCAGCCAAAGGTATACATACATCCCCTCCCTTTTGAACCTCCCTCCCATCTCCTGCCCCATCCCACCCCTCTAGGTTGAGACACAGCCCCTGTTTGAGTTTTCTGAGTCATTCAGCAAATTCCCATAGGCTATCTATTTTACATATGGTAATGTAAGTTTCCATATTAATTCTCTCCATACATCTCACCCTCTCCTCCCCTCTCCCCATGCCCATAAGTCTATTCTCTATGTCTGTTTCTCCACTGCTGCTCTGTAAATAAATTCTTCAGTACCATTTTTCTAGATCCCATATATGTGTTTGAATACAATATTTATCTTTCTCTGACTTACTTCACTCTGTATAATAGGCTTTAGGTTCATCCACCTCATTAGAACTGACTCAAAGGCATTCCTTTTTATGGCTGAGTAATATTCCACTATGTGTATGTACCACAACTTCTTTATCTATTCATCTGTCAATGGACATCTAGGTTGCTTCCATGTTCTAGCTATTTTAAATAGTGCTGCAATGAACAGGATGTACATGTGTCTTTTTCAATTTTGATCTCCTCGGGGTATATGCCTAGGAGTGGGATTGCTGGGTCATATGGTGGTTTTATTCCTAGTTTTTTAAGGAATCTCCATACCATCTTTCATAGTGGCTGTTCAGTTTACATTCCCACCAACAGTGCAAGAGTGTCCCCTTTTCTCCACACCCTCTCCTGCATTTATTGTTTGTAGACTTCTTGATGAAGGTCATTCTGACTGGTGTGAGGTGATATCTCATTGTAGTTTTGATTTGCATTTCTCTAGTAATGAGTGATATTGAGCATCTTTTCATGTGTTTATCAGCCATCTGTTTATCTTCTTTGGAGAAAATGTCTACTCAGACCCATTAAAATTTTTTTGTTGTTGTTACAAAGTCTTCATAGATTCTGAGTACAAGTCCCTTATCAGATATGGGAGCTGAAAATTTTTTTCCTCTTCAACCCCACGGGTTGTCTTTTTCACTTTCTTAATGTATTGAAGCACCAAAGTTTTAAAACTTGTTCTGCTGTTTATACTTTTGGTATTGTATCTAAGGAACCACTACGTCACCCAAGGTCATGGAGATTTATTCCAATACCTTCTTCCAAGAGTGTAATCATTTTAGCTCCTACATTCAGATCTCTGATCTATCCAAGTTAACTTCTGTGTACGGTGTGAGGTGGGGTAATAATGTTTTTGATGAACTAGTCATCAGGACAGTGAACCAATTCACACTTTTCAAAAGCTGTAAATAAAGGGGAAAGAAGCGGGCATTTATCCGGCTTTTCCTTTACAATCAATGTCACTAGTTAACCAAATAATGGCAAAGGAGAAGTTTCTCTTGAAAGAATTCCAGCTCCAGGATGAAAGAACTGGGCCACGATCACTCTGCCTTCGCTAATGAACCGATAGATCTAGGCCACTGCAGCTATAAAGGGCTGCTGATGTCACAGAGGGAGAGATGACTGGATGTTACATGCTCCCAAATGAAGAACATGCTACGCACACCAGCAGCAGGTGTGAAAGGACTGAGCCTGAATGTCATCAAGCAGCCACATCCAACTCCTGACTTTCAAGAAGTACAGACGGGAAAGGAGCACGCTACAGGACTCCACAGAGGTGCCATCAACAAACTATGGGAAGCTCTGCAAGACAAATGACCTGGTTTCTTCAACAGACACAAGGGGAAAAAACAGAGGTGCCAAGAAGCTACAGATAAAAAGAGCAGCGGCAGCAAAGTGGAAGCTTCTGTCTGAACCTTCCTTCCACCAGCAAACCCTTTACCCACCCCAGGATGTCTGTCCCCACTCCCCCAAGGTCCTTGTCTCAGGTACCCATGAGCCCCAGCAGAAGCACAGGCCCTACATGGGGGTCCCTGCAGCAGCTTCTCAGGTCAGGGGAGCTCTGACCGTCACACCTGGCCCCACACCCCAGGTTCATTTTCAGGGTCATTTATTAATTCACACAGGGGCCTTGAGCTTCCTGCAACCTCACTACACGGAACTTTATGTTCTCTCTCTCTACCCCAACACCTGAACACAGTTTTCAGAGTTAAACTGCCATTCTGTATACTTCGAAGTTTATCATTTCCACTCAACACACACCTGCAGGGCTGAAAGACGCCTGCACCCCCCACCCTGGCCGAGATGCCCCTGGCTAGCTAAGACATCCAGGCTCTCCTCTGCCCCAGGCAGGCTGTCAGCAACTGTCACGGCACATAACCCAGCTAGGAAACAGCAGAGAGGGGCAGTGGTTAGGAGGGTCTGCAGTGATGAATGTGCACTGGACCAGCAGGGAAAGCCAGCCCCCACTCACTCTGTGACCTTACAGAATGTGTGATCAGCATGCTGGGGCCACCACCCCTGGCATTTGCACACAGGAGACAGGCAGACAGTGGGCATCGTGAATGTGTTTTCCCCTGCCCTGGAGAACCCACAGTGCCAACAGGAGCTGACCGCACTGAGCCCACGCCCCTGTATGGGAGACCAGAACAGATGAAGCACCCAGCACCTTCCAGGAAGATAACTGGGAGGCTGAGGCACGGCAGGCGGCTGAGGCCCTGTGACAAGCTGCAGAAAGCGCCTCGGGACCCAGCAGCACTCAAGGCCAGGAAGACCGACCAGCCACGGGTGCTGGGGAAGCCTCCTCCCGGCCGCCACTAGACCAGGCCCTCACCAACCAGGCCCTCTGCTAGAGCCGCCTGGAGGCAGGGGCTTCCCTGATGAACAGGCAAGCACCTCCTTTACAATAACACAGGGACTACAAACAACTGTCACTAATGATGAGCACAGGGCACTCCACCGGTTTCTAAGAGGTTTTTGATCTGAAGCACGGAGCAGGGTCTGCAGGAAATGAAACACACACCTTGTTTACTCTCTGGGGATAACACTTTCGCTGTTCCAAAATCTGTGATCTGGATGTGCATGTCTTCATTTAACAAAATATTTTCTGGTTTCAGGTCCCTGTGAAAGCAGATTTTTCACACTTGACATGAAATATTTGAAACAGTAACATTACGTACTCCAAATTTAGCTATAAACAAAATGAACTGGTTAATACCTATAATCTTTATAGACTAACGACCAAGAATGCAAGTCTAAAGTTAGCACTGAACAATATCAACTGCATCCAGTGAGGACATTCAAATCAATCATTTCATAACTGCATCTATCATTTTAATAAACTTTTAACTGAAGTATAATCTCTCATGTTTATAAAAAGCCTTTAAACTTCCTGTGGTATCATTACACAATAAATGTGAATCAAACCATCAAAACGCATACCTTAAACTTGGGATGTCAACTACTTCTCAATAAAACAGGGAGGGGGAAAAAGATTAAATGATAAATTTTTACGTTATGTGTATTTTACTACCACTACCACCACCAAAAAAAAAAAAATCTGTAAGGGGAAAAAAAAAGCTCAAATGAATACTTTCAATTTGACTACTGGAAAATGAGACCAGAAGTAAGTACATACAGAATCTGATAAAGTAAAAGCAGCAGCCAAGATGGCTAAAAGAATCACTAGCCTGGCTAAAGAGACATCCGGCCAGTTTCACCTGGGATGTCAGGTCCGCGGTCTCAGCGTCAGGGAGAGGGGCCCGCTTCTGGGTTTCCACAGGGAGGCGGCCCACCCCCAGGAGAGCGCTGGGAGCCGGCCGCGGGCGCGGGGAGCAGCCAGCAGCCCGGCTCGGTACCTGTGAATGACACCCTTGCCGTGCAAGTACTCCAGGGCAGACACCATCTCGGCCGTGTAAAATCGGGTGCACGTCTCATCGAACGAACCGATTTTCCGAATGTATTTAAGTAGTTCTCCATTTTTGGCATAACTAAGGCCAAAATCTAAACATTGCATGGTTAAGGAAGACAGCAAAAAGTCATTCTTTTAAACTAATCTTAGCACCCCAGTAGCAATTTTTTTAAATTAATGAAAATTGAAGGTACCTGTGGCCAGAGATAGCTGCCCGGCCCCCAGCCAGGCCCCACACAGATCTGCGGAGTGGGTCTGGAGGGATCCCCTGGCCTGGCTCCACGACAGGCCCCCGGGGGTTCTCACCAACAGCACAGAAACACTGGCCTCTTGGCCAAGTGCCCCTTCCGGACACCCATTCCCAGAAGACCCCTGTGGGCTCTGTGAAGGGAGCCGCTGGAGATGTGGGCAGAGCTTCCACCCTCACAGCCTGCGCCAGCCTCGCACCTCAGGCTGTGTGGAGCCAAGTCACGGAAAGGCTCCTCAAAAGTAGGCTCCCGGCATGTGTGAAGTGAGAAGTTCTGTGGGAGAAATGCTGTCTCACTAACTCTGACTCTATCGGCCCCCCAGGGGACTCGAGGAGCCCAGTCTTCTTCCCTTCCCTCGGACACCGCAGTGTGCTGTTTTGCTATTCTTCTCCCTTTTTCAAAGTGGACTAAAGGCTGAAACAAGTGACGGATCCCATAGAACTGCTTCCTCCTGGAAGCACGGAACACGGTGCCTCTTAATGGAAGCTACAGGCCATCAGGGGCAGGGTGACCCAAGGCCTCGCCCACCCTGAGCAATGGCTCCAGGGAGCTGGGGGTGGCCTGTAGTCAAGGTGTTCCATCTGGTTTCTGTTCGCCAAGGCCCTGCATCGCCCATGGAGGAAGGTGCCTGACACTGTGGTGCAGGAAGGACAAGGCCAGGAGGGAAAAGACCAGCAACCAAAGCTGCTCGAAGCTGTTTTCTGACCGAGCCCCCTCCGAGGCCACCCAAGCCTTTCCAATTAGAACAACGTGCAACAGGCAGCCGAAGCGGAAAACCAACCTTACTTCCAGGGAAAGCAAAGGGCCTCAGTCAGGGCCCCCTCCCTCCTCGCCTTGCTCCAACCCCTCCTCGGGAAAGGCCAGCACCCATGGCCAGCCTCGCCAGTGGCCTGCAGACTCCAGCCCAGCCAACTCTGAGCAGAGGTCCCACTTGCCCCGGACTTGCCACGGTGCCTCCCCCGCTCGGGAGCGCGGTCTCCCAGAGACCAGCAGCCCCGGTGAGAGGCTCGGCCACGGCCATGGGGCCTCTTCCGGCTTCACAGGTTTTGCCCCTTATCGGCCCACTCCCTGAGTTCCTGTTTCCTGTGTGAAGGACACTCTGAGTTCTCTGCCCAGCCAGGGAGCTAGTGATTGACAATTCTAAACACGACAAATGCTGAGGATCACGGCTCCAAGTCCGTGTTCTCTCTGCCCACAAACGTTCCTCATTCCCCAGGAATACTCTCAGAGCTCACTGCTCCACTCCTCCTCCCCAGCACAGCGAAGGCCTCAGGGCAGGAGACAAGGCTGCTCTCTCACCGGCAACAGGGGAATTCCTGGGATGAGGAACACAGGCACGTGGCAGAGCTGGAGAGCCTGCTGGGCCCAATGCCTGCACTTTGCAGGCGAACCCAGCCCAGAGAAGTTAAGCAACTGACTCAAGGTCACACAGCCTGGAACGCAGCTTCCTGAGGTCTAGTGCACCATTCCTGTCCCCAAGCTGGAAGAGGACACCAAGCGCGGGCAGAGGGCGGCGGAGGAAAAACGCAGGCTGGCCCGGCAACAGTCCTGAAGTCCCTCCAGCTTCACCCCTGCTGGAGGAAAGGCACCCTGGCCGTCTGGCTCTAGCGCCCAGCCCTGCCCCTCACCCAGGGAGGGAGGGCAGGCTGCCCTGAGCTCAGCCTCTCCTGGGAGCAGGGACTGAGTCGGTCAAGCTGAACCTCCAGAGGGCAAAAAGGCTGCCAGAGCCCAGGAGTCCCCTCGAGGACCGACCTGCCTGCTCTCAGGCTGTGGCAGGGGTGTCTCCAGGCCCTGCCGCCTCTGTCCCGGGGGGCAGGGGGGATACCCTGCAGTTGCAGGAGGCACCGTTCACCCCAGCAGGCACATCACGGCTACAGGGAGGATGCCATGCACGCTGGGGCTCTGCTTCAGGCAGAGTGTCTCCTTTGCTTTCTCTTTCAACACACTGTGCGCCACAAAAGATTTTGAGTAAGGTACAAGTCCCCCAGGTCTCGCTCCTGTCAGAGGTAAGTGAGCCCCTGCAATCTCCACAGGCTTTCAAAGGGGTCTTAAAAGGTCAAGAGCAACAGATATCGCTGGACAGACCGAGAGTTCCCTTTGCCTGCATTACTCTGGCCAGTCCCGTCTGAAATCAGACAGCAAACCCCCTCACCCGGCCTCTGAGGGCCTGCTCCCACTGCTTGCAAGCTTGGGAGAAGATGATGTCAGTGCGCAACCTGCCAGAGCCTCCCAGCCAACAAGACACATTCTCCAGGGGCCCTGCTGGAAGCCCAGACCTGGGACTCCAGAAAACTGGCCTGGAGAGGCCCCCAGGCTGAGAGAGGAGCACGAGGAGCGAGGGGTCAAGGCGGCCTCAGAGGTGAGACCCAGAGCAGGCTGAGGGGCGCTCCGCCGTCCTCAGGAGGCCCCGGGCAACACGCAGGCGGGGTGGGTGATGCTAAGGCCAGGTGGAGGTGCACCCGCTGTGACACCGCAAGCAAGCCCGCAGGACTCCCCGCCCCGCAGGCCGTGGTCACTGGACCCCTTCACCGGTCCCCTTGAGAGCACCCCAGGAAAACCAGCTGGGCCTGCTCGCCCCTCTCGAGACTCACGCCCCACCCAGACTGCACTCTCCACACCTCCCTGGGGGCCGATCCACAATTCAGGCCTGCACCCAAGTACTGGCCTACCTGGCACTGTCCAGCCAGGCAGCCAGCACCCTCACCGGAACCAGTCGGCCGTGGCCCTGGGATCTGCCGTCTCCACCCTCTGGAGCTCTGCCCTGCTGGGTCCACTCTGGCCCTCAAGCCCCCCAGTCTGCATACCGACCTGACCTCGGGGTCTCAAGCGGCAGGCACCAGCATGTGTGTCAGGTGCGGGAGCGATGTGCACAGGTTCCGAGGTCCCGGCCTCCCAGCCCCCTCCCAAGAGCCTCCTCCCAGCAGCAGCCCAGGCGAGAGCATGAGGCGGCTGCTCCAGACCCTGCTGGGCTCCGCACCACACTCAGAAGAAAACCCAGAACTCTTGCTGGGACTCCGGTCTCTTGGGCCCGGCGCCCCCCCAACCAACCCACACCTGCCCCTGCTCTGTCCAGGCCTCTGGCTGACGTCCTCTCCTCCGACCACTAAAACAGCAGCTCCAACACTCCCACTGGCCTGATTCCTACACACAGCCAGGAATCATCCATGTAGATCTAACTCTGCAGGGAAATGCAAGCCCCCCAAGGCAGAGCCCTCACCTGACACACCAGCGTGTTCCCACCCTGGCACTCAACAAGGCCTTCTCAATGAACAAAAGAACATTCAACTCATGGCTGAAGGAGCCAGAAAGTGGTGTGAAAGGGGAAACAGGATCAAGACAAGTTTTAACCCAGAAGGTGGAGAGTGGAGAGGAGGACGGGAGGGGAGGGGGTTTGGGGCAGGCCCACCCCGAGGTTGGGAGGAGGGCGGAGAAGGGGCTCTGGTGACCCAAGGGCAGAAGAAAGAGAGCAGATGCACAGACTGAGGTTTAAGCCTGAACAAGGTTTAAACCTGAGTGACCTCCCGCATCGAGCTGCTGCTGGGGCTCAGACTGTCTCCGGGCAGCCGGGGGCCAGGAGAGGGGCTGGGAGCAGGGAGCACGGGCCGGCTCGACAAGCTGAGAGCATAGACAGGGCTCCCCAACCCCGAGCAAAAGAGCAAGAAAAATGACAGTGCTCAGGGGTTAGAGGACATGTCAGGGAACCGGTTCAGGGGATGCCCTGAAATTAAGTGAAGAATCGGCAGGGTGTGCCATCCCTGCCAGAGAAGCAGCTGGAGAAGCAGGGAGCACAGCCCTGGACGGAGGGGCAGGGAGGGAAGGATGGAGGGCCAGAGAGGACCTGGCTCGGGGAGGACAGCCCCAGAGGCAGGGAGAAAGGTTCTGGGTTTCTGGGGGTCGCTCCCTGAAGTTCTCACCTGGCAGCTGAGCCTGGGGAAGATGCCCCTTCCAACCAAACCCCAGAGCCGCAGGCCAGGGAGGGCAGAGTGGTGCCCACCTCCCAGGCTCCCTGGATGCCCATGACCCTTCTTGCTCACGGCCCTGCTCTGTGCACAGGATGCGACACCTGATAGACACTGCACGGACACTGCTTAAAAGGAATGGGGGGAAACGCCTTTCAATAAAGGTCTAGCAACATCAGCATTGAAACAGTTCTTGAACTATGAAGCTTACCAACAGAAAACCTCAAAAGCGGCTGTGATGATCTCCCTTGAAGCAATGTTCGACTTCAGTGACTGTCTGCAGTCCCAGGGGTCCCAAAGCAAGTGATGTGAATTCATCTGTATCTAGAATATGCTTGCTACCCTTTGCTTTCCAGGGAAGGGGCTACTTCTGAAAACAAAACCAGTCATGGTTCCAAAACAATAAGCGATTGCTGGCATGGCATTTCAGAGGCTTTGACTGTTCAAAGGATACACAGCTTTTCATCATCCTGAAACGTGAAGTAAAGTTTAACAAAGAAGGGATGATCCAGCCGCGACATCACGTCTCGCTCTCTGGTTACATACGGGACTTTGTTCTCTTTGATAATGTGGCGTTTCTCTAGAATTTTAACTTAAGAGAGAAAGCAAGTTACTGCAATTGGAAATGGTAAGAAAACACTAAAGACACAATACATAAAGTATCAGATACAAATTAAAGTGTTTCACAAAACACACCCACCAGCTTTGTGATCTCTAAGACCAATAGCGTCCTGTCCCCCGAGACCAGCGCAGAGCCCTGCGAGGGCGGGCCGGGGCGCTGTTCCTGCTTCCTAGACACTGAGCAACCTAGCTCGCTGGAGTTAGTTACTTACTAGCATATTCCCTTGAGGTTGCCAGTTCTCGGGCCAGGACAACCTGGTTTAGAAAGAAAAGGGGGAAAAAGGAGAAAAAACAACCAATGTAACTAGGGCACAGAGTCTCACGAGTCACCCTGCAACCAACCACAAGGGCTACCCCGCCCCCTCTGAAATCCCTCTTTACACACTCTCGGCCCTGTGCGGACAAACGGTCAGTGACTAAGATAACGTGTTCTCACAGGTAAAGGAACAGATATTCCTCACATGTTTCCAGAAGGGTCCTCAACATCTGCTAATGTTCCTCGATGTGGTGAAATATATATTCACAAACACCTTAGCACTGGCGTAACCATCACAAACTGTGGGAAGCAGCAGCAAGATACCTCCACAAAGTGGGTATTGGGAATTCCTTCAAAAGATAACTCTATGGATATGTCCCTGGTACATGTTCACTGCAAAAGGCTGCCCTAAATTTGGGCTTTTACCAATAACAGTTACCATCCATTTCACTTGATGCCCCCCGCAGATGCTATAAATCCCACACCTGCCTGGAGGGTGCGGGAAAGGGAGGCAGAGCCACCTCCAGCGTGCCAGCACCACCCCCAGGCTGTGCCCTCTCCTGGCACAGCCCCGCCTGACCCTCAACTGACCCTCAACCCCGGGGACGGAGCACCGGTGGGGCCCCACACAACAGAAGAGACCTTCCCACACACACCTGGGCACAACCTGAGCAACAACCTCCCAGTGCCCAATGGCCCCCAGGCAGTGAGTGGGGGCGGCCCCCACCACCAGCATCCGGTGCCAATTCCTCCTGCGACACCTGCAGGGAACGGCGGAGGACCCACGAGCAGATGGAAACCCGCCTACTCCAGGGCTGTGAGTTCTACCCCATCACAGAATCCCTCCAGTTCATCACAAGTGACCCTGGGCACTGTGTGACGCTCTGCACTCAGTAAGAGCAAGGCTGGATTACGTGTGCTCAGGTGGGAAGACGGGGAGGATCTCTGTGGAAGAGGAACCCTGGACTATCTTCAGGTGCTGGAGCATAAGGAGAGGGGCTGGTGAAGAGCCGGCCTCCTCGAGGTTACGGACCCACGCAAGGCTGACAGCAGCACACACTGGCCAGGTAAGGAGAGAAAGAGGAAGGGCATGGCTCGAGTGCTAACATTTAATGGAACCCTATCTGAAGGAGACACTGTGTCATCTTTCTGTCGTGTGAACTCCACACATTCCATGCAGGTTTCCTATGTCCGTCCACACGGCCCAAGCTGACGGCAGGAGCACCCTCAGGGAGCTGTGGGCAGGGGACCAGGCTTCCCCTCGCCAGCACCAGCTCCACCCCAGGGAGGGTCCCGCCCAGGATCCACCCTGGGAGCCGCCTCTTCTCCTCCACTCCCGCCCTGGAGACCTGCTGCAAGAGTGGTAGGAGAAACCTGTGGGAAGCAGATGGAATCGGAGACCCCAGGCTGCAGGACTCCCAGCAGTGCCAGAAAAGAGCCTTCGGGCTCTCGGGCTTTCCTGGGCACCAGGAAGACCAGACCAGCTGGGGCTTCTCTGCATCCAGAACAGATGGCACGCACTTTCACCCACGGTGGAAACCCAGGGACACTGGGGGGACGTCACAAACATGTCCTCATTTTCCAGGCAACATAAACATCCTGTGAGGGACAGCTGAGAGAAGGAAAGAACCCTGCTTCTTTTACTGGACTCATGCAAGTAACTGCAAAACATCCAAGGTTCTTTCCAAAAGTTTTTCTCTTTCTGAAAGAACCTATGAGTACCAGAGCTACTGGAGCTGATCCTCAAAGTTGAAGGTTTTTATCATGAGGACTGAATTCTTTCATAACTTAAATACTGCCAATAAAAAAATCTAAATTAAAAATGTAAACAGAGCAAAAATTAACAATTAAAATTATACTGGGAACATGGGTGAGCTGTAGTATGTCATGTTCTTTGTATTTTGAAATATTTCACAAATGGAAAAAGAGAAAAGGAAAACAAATTTCATACAAGGTTTCTTCACAGAAAGGCCAGGCAGGGAAGTCTCATTATTCAGGATCTCTGCTGCCGTGAGGAGACCAGGGCGGGTGGCAGGGGCCTGTCTCTCAATAAGGCACAGGAGACAAGACCCCACGCCAGCCGGGGGACCGCGGTTCTGGCCTCCCTGTGCCTGCAGCGAGCCTCCTGCCCCACCACAGCTCATAAGGCCTCCTCCTCAGCAAACAGCAGCTTTGCACCTTCATATCTTTGCTTGAAGAGGAAAAATACTACAAGACAGGTCAACTCTCAAAAAACAAAAAGAATGTACCGCAAGTGTGACTCAACAGTGCTGTGATAATGCTTCTGTTCATGAAACTGAGGACACAAAGATCTGGAAGCTAGCAGGTCGTGGGCTGCAACTCGAGCAAGCATCAAGTGTGTACTTTTTACATACATTTTTAAAACAAGAGAAATAATAAAGGTTGTTCAATGTTTCCCATTTGAAAAGACCCTGATGCTGGGAAAGACTGAAGGCAGGAGGAGAAGGGGACGACAGAGGATGAGATAGTTGGATGGCATCACCGACTCGATGGACATGAGTTTGAGTAAATCTGGGAGTTGGTGATGGACAGGGAGGCCTGGCGTGCTGCGATCTATGGGGTCGCAAAGAGTTGGACACAACTGAGCGACTGAACCGAACTGAATGTCTCCCAACAACTATGAACAGACACTGACACCAATACTGACATTCAATCTAAGGAAAACTCCCAGGGTCTTGCCAAAGGACACAATGATATGAAATGTCAGTTGCCGATGCCTGACAAGAATAAAATTTCTTTAGAAAATTAAAAACAAGATCATGAAATGCCTTTTAAAGCTTTCACCTACAAAAATCAGAGCTTAGATATGTTAACCATCTGATCTGCCTGGTGGCAGCCAGCCCCAAGTCACCTTCACTGCAGGAGACGAGTCCCCAAGGGGCCCGAGACGCTCTTCTGGGGTGGAGCGCCACCACAGCATCTCGGCGCCCAGCTCCGCGTCCCGAGAAAGGCCAGTGCTCCCAAGGAAAACACCCTCATCCGACAAACGGCAGCGGCGTGTACTCACTGTTGAAAATGAGCCTTCACCGAGAATCTTCCCGAACTTGAAGTCCTCGGGCCGTTTCTTCCGGGGCTGCGGGGGCTGCGCGGCGTGCTGCAGAGCGCTGGCGCTCGCCCGGGGCTGGGCCGCGGTGCCGTCCATGGCAGGGCCCTGCCTGCTCCCCCCGCTGGGAACGCCGGGGGCCGTGCTGGACTCAGTCTGGGTCCTCACCATTGATGGGGATGGGCAGGAGCATAACACCACGCTGGACTGAATGGGAACCGTGTCATACTGGGGGACACAGGAAAAAAGAGGTAAGGTTCAAGGCGGCTCACTTTTCTGAACGTATGAACTCAAGTCGCTGAGCCCCCACCAAGCACAGGGCAGGCCGTCCAGCGCTCGGACGTGCAGCCCAGGCCTTGGCCCTCTACTCAGAAGTCTCGTCCCGCTGAAACCTCGCCCTGCCCCGTCTGCGTGCGCACAGACCCCCCGCCTGCACCCTCTCCCTCAGCACCGCGTACGCCCCCGGCGCCCCCAGCCCTGCTCAGCTGGCCTTCCCACCACAGGGCCTGGCCTAAATGCATTCCGTGGCCTGTCACAGAGCAAGCTGGTCCAAACCCTGTGACCCCAGGGTCTCCCTTCCCAGAACCCCTCCCTGCTCACCCACCCACACTCGATACCAGGCGAGACTCACAAAAGGCACCAGGGCTTGGACAGAAAGGGCAGCGAAAGACTATGTCCCACAGCTGAACAGGGAGGGCACCTCAGTGGTCCCGGAACACGGAGAGTGACTGAACGCAAAGAAGAGTCCAAGAACTGCTGCTGCGCATGCAAGGCACAGCTGATGGAGAAGAAATGAGCCGCTCAGAAAGAACAGCAGTGGAATAATGCTTAACATCTTGAAAAAGTAACTGATTCAGAGCCAAAATGCTCACTGCACACCCAAGTTACCTCCAAATCAATTAAAGAGTTGTATGTTTTTTTAGTTATTTAAATAAATTTAAAAACCTAACAAGGTTTTAAAATTTGCAATCCCTATTAAAAGAAGCCAGCTTCCTTGCAGAAACTGACAAGATGATTCTAAAATTCTTATGGAAATTCAAGGAATCCAGAATAGCCAAACAATCTCAAAAAAAAGAACAAAACTGGAGGACTCACACTACCTGATTTCCAAATTCATTAAAAGCTATAGTAATCAAGACAGTGTGGTACTGTATAATGATACACACATTGGGGGACGGAACAGTCTAGAAATAAACTCCTAAGTCTATGGCCAATCTTTGACAAGGGTGCCAAGACCCTTCAAGGGGAAAAAGCCTTTTTCTGCCAATGGTACTGGATATCCACACGCAGAAAAACAAAGGTGGCTGCCTTTTCCACATCAAAATTTAACTTAAATGGATCAAAGATCTACATGTAAGAAATAAAACTAGAAAACTCTTAGAAGAAAATATAGGAGTAAATCTTTATGATCTTGGCAATGGTTTCTTAGATATGAAACCAAAAGCACAGGAACAAAAGAAGAAACAGATCAAAGGGACTTGATCAAAATTTAAAACTTCTGTGCTTCAAAGGCAAAGAACCACCCAAAGAATGGGAGAAAATATTTACAAACCATCTATCTGATAACGGACTTGTATTCAGACTATATAAAGAACTCAAACAATTCAATTAAAAACGAAATAAAACACAATTTAAAAACAGTCAACAAATCTGAGTAAACAAGGAAAAAACCATACAAATGGCCAAAAAGTACCTGAAAAGAGGTTCAACATCATTAGCTACTACAGAAATGCAAGTCAAAGCCACAGTGAGATTCCATTTCACACATACCAGGATCAAAGAGATAACAAGTGTTGATGGAGACACACAGAAGTTGGAACCCTCACACTGCTGGTAGGATGTCAAATGGGGCAACCACATCAGAAAACATTACAACAGTTCCTCAAAAGGAAACAGGTACCATACAACTGAGCAATCTCACTCCTAGAAATGAAAACACAGGTCCACACAAATCTTGTACAAGCATGTTCACAGCAGCATTATAGATAACTAAAAGGGTTGGAAAGGACAATCAACAGATAAATGAATAAACAAAATGCACTGCAGCTATAAAAAAAACTGAACACTCAGCCATAAAAAGGAAGTACTGATATACTCTACAAACCAGATGAACATGCAAACACTATGGGATGTGAAAAGGGCCTGACACAAAAGCCACATATTGTGTGATTCCATCTGTATGAAATGTCCAGATGAGGCAGATCTACAAAGAAAGGAAAATTGGTGGTTGTCAGCGGCTGGCAGGAGGGGAGAACAGAGTGGCTGCTTATGGTCAGGGGTTTCTTTCTGGAATGATGAGGATGTCCTGGAATTGGAAAGTGGAGACATATAACCTCATAAATACACTAAAACCACTGAATTACACATTTTAAATGGGTGGATTATACAGTATATGAATATCTCAATAAGCTGTTATAAAAATAGCTGTATCACAAATGACTACATAAACTTATATATAAGATCTCATTCGAATCCATAAACCATCAAGACTGTTTTTTAACACAAGAATAGGCACCAAAAAAACTCAAGTAGCTCAGAGTTGTGAAAATGTGTGTCTCAAATACAAGCGAGAGCGCCAGAGACCGCGGCACACATTTTTAACTATGGCGAGAGGCTGGGAGGATGAATTATTAGATAAGAAGAACGATTAAGTATGTTTACAACACAGAGACACCAAAGGCTGGCAGGACTATGCCAACCCATACAGGACAAGCCGACCCATATAGCTGTGGCTGGGACCATGAACCCGTGCTGCTACTAAAATCGTTCTGGACAGCGATACGGTGACCCGTCAACAAAGTGACGACAAAACTTTCACCAGTGGGATACACAAAAACACTTATGAGAGGTGGACGGACGTACAGTTGAAATTTAGATGGCCATTAAGGAAGGAATTTTAGATAGTGAAGTTAAATCAGAAATACACAAAAGTTGTGCCCACAACCATTAAAAAGAAAAGCCTTTCCAGTCTGAGCCTAAAGCATTCCAGCAGTGACATCATGGGCCTACTCATCACCAGACTGTTGTGGAACAACACGGAATGAACTCAGAGCACCCAGATTTGTTCCTAACAGTCCTGCCCTTTAAAAGACCCAGGAGAGCACTTGGCTCCACATCTTGGAACAGGAAGAAGGCTGTCAACGTGGGCTGTGATCCTCTGCTACGTCTGAAAAGGAGGCTGTCTGTGTAGGAGGAAAAGGCAGGGAAGCTGGCCTGTAGGGGTTGTTACTGGCCATGCTGTGTCCCTGCAAACCTAAGTACAGCCACTAAGAATAAGCTGAAACTGGGGAAAATCAAGACTGCAACAACACACACAGGTAGGTGGTAAGAAGTACATCAACACGATAACACAAAAGCAGGCTGAAGACAACTGAACACTTAATTTTATTAATTTAAATACGTAAAGGAGTGTGGCCAAAGTTGTTTCTTATAAGTATATTGTTGTTTTTCAGTCACTCAGTCGTGTCTGACTCTTTGCAACCCCCTGTAATGAAGCACGCGGGCTTCCCTGTCCACTATCTCCCTCAGTTTGCTCAAACTATGTTTGTTCAGAAACGCTAGATAAAAATTTTCTCTCCATTAATACAGGGAAGAGAGATGCAGGGAACTATAAAGAAGCCAGAGTCCTACAGGTGTGCACCAAACAAGTGCACCAAAAAAGGCTGGACAGGCGGGCACAGTAACCAACAGTGTGCAGAGTGCGACAGCTCAACCACAAGAGAAAAAGCTGATGGAGACAGATGCTCATCTTAAGATGCACAAAAGCCAAGCAAGTAAGAAACGCATCTAGATGGAACATCCTGTGACCCGAACGTGATGAGCACAGAGGAGGAGAAGTGAGGCAGCGGACGGCAAGGAAAGCAGGAGCCTGGGCCATCCCCGGTGGGGCAGGCCAGGCCAGGGAAGGCTGGCTCAGGCAGGTCACCCCAGAAGACACACCACATGCCAGCTCCAGAGCTGCACCCCAGCTGGGACGGGCAGGCTTCATTTTCACTTCAGGCAAGGTACACAAATATGAAGGAATTAACTCAACGCACAGAATCAATGAAACACTAGGAGACTGTGACTAGCAAGCTTTGTAAAGACCATCTAAGAGAACCTGCCTTTTTAAATGTAGCCGACAGCACAAACATGACCAGCAGTGCGGGCTCTCTAGCTGGAATGGGAGCCTGAGGCGACTGGCTCCTTCTGGAAAACTGCCATCTCCATGGACACGCTAAGGCTCACAGTAAGTCTAGTGTGCCTGATGTGCTTCATAAACGCTCCATCTCGGGAGAGGTCCTGAGGGCTGGACTCAGCTCTGTGGTTCAGCCAGTACCTTAAGGGTTTGTCCCTATAAACAAAGCATACAATCTTAACAGATGTGTTTAGCTGCTCAGTCGTGTGCGACCCTTTGTGACACCATGGACTACAGTCCGCCAGGCTCCTCTGTCCCCAGGATTCTCCAGGCAAGTATACTGGAGTGGGTTGCCGTGCCCTCCTCCAGGGGATCTTCCTGACCCAGGGATCGAACCCATGTCGCTTGTGTCTGCTGCACTGCAGACAGGTTCTTTACCCCTGAGCCACCAGGAAGCTAACAGAAGTGTAATCAAATTCAGTAGCTTCCCCTGGATATCAGCTGGAACTTTCTGTCCTCCAGGGCAGTGGGAAGTAGGGAGGAGGTCACAGTCACCATGCCGAGGTCCATCAGGAACCAAGACAGGCCAGGGCTGTGCTCAGCATCCAGGCCAGGGGCCTGATGACCCCAGGCTGTGCCCAGTAGGGCACCGAGCACCTCACGGGCTTCCCAGACACAGCCAAGGCGTAAGCACTCCCTGTGCCCGCGGGTCATCCCAAGTGCAAACTCCCAAGCCCAGGACTGAGGCACAGCAGGGCTGTGGGACCCAAAGGGACTCCACAAGACGGGGGAGGAAAGAGCCGGCACTCCAGCAGCGCCACCCCAGGCACTGCTTCAGACTGGCGGCTCACACCCCCAGCGGAGTCACTGCTGCCCAACGGGAGGGGGGCAGGGGGAGCACCACAGGTCCCACCCGGTTACTGACCTCACCTCAGCGCCCACCTCCCACCAAGCAAGGCTCGAGGAGACAACGGGAAATGCACCGGACAGTGGCAAATGTTGCTTTTGATTCAAAACTGACACATGAACTACTTAGTAAAACTTCAAACATGAAGTTTTTAGATAATAAAATGTGATGAGTTGATTCATGGACCTGAAAAAGGTAATTTTA